CAAAAATTGAAAATTTGACGTCACAATTTTTGAACAGTTTTTTTTTTCGCTATACCTTGGCCAAATAACAAGATATTGATCTGAAGTTTGGTATGTAGATAGAAGACGGTAGATACTATCACATATATTCCGGTTTTTTCGAAACTCAAAAAACATTTTGGATTTTTTGGCAAATATATCCAAAAAAATTGCTTTTTTATTTTTGGGGTCAAAACTCAAAAGTTTCAAAAATCCGAGATAGTAGTTGTGTAGCGCTGTCAATTTTACACCTTTTATGTCTTGATGGTTTTTCTGTGTCTTCAACACTGTAGGCCTGACAGCTCTTCTCGCGAAGGTCTTTTTTTTGGTCGAAAATGTTGGAACATGACGTCATTCTGACGTCATTTTTGGCCAACCTATCATAGCCTCCGGAAAAATTTTTGGTCACAATGTGTAGAATTGATGGCCGGAGTGGTCCTGAAAGTTTGGTGGCGATATCTCCAGCCGTGTAGGAGATATCGACGGAAAAGGACAGGGGGGCCGTTTAGGCCCCCCTACGGGACGCGGTTTAAATTTTCAAATAAAGTTGCTGTGTTTAACTCTGGCGGCATAAAATATATAGGCTGAAAGTTGGTGGGGCTATTTGAGACAGGCTCGTCACTGCATTAAACACACCGTAATGCATCAAAAGAGGGAAAATAGTTTCCAAAATGGTTGAATGAATAGTCTGCATGACCGATTGTTCCACAGCACATCAACCTGTGAAGAAATAACAGAAAAAGGCCAAACAGTTTTGATTTTATACCGATTTTCCTAGATCACTGCATGTTGTATCGAATGGCCGGTTACCGCACTGGATCAAACACGTATACTGAGGGCTCACCTAACAGTACGTATGTATGTTAAATAACCTTCAATGGTTCCTTCTGGTCAATGAGAGTAGACATGGGTCGATTGTCGACCACGTTAGTGACTGATGAAACACATTTTATGCACATATTCATAAGGGTAACTAATATCGTCACATGCTGGATGATCATAAATTTTCAATGTGTAATGCTGCTAAGAACTATAAACCCATGGCCGATTCACCGGTGTTGTTTGATACACGTCAGGTCGAATGTTTGATACACGTTAGGCAGATGGCGGTAAATCTTTTCGGATCCATCACATCACCTGTTTTTATGGCCTTGGCATCACAATCATCAGCTGTATTTTGTATACGTTGAGGTTTGACGAGGTGGTGTAGTGTCGTCCTGCCGTCCTCGTCCGCCACTCACAGTCAGTCTTCTCACATAGACGATGGTATTAAACTCAAAGACAAAAGGACATAACATAAGAAATGCAGGACAGCGCGCTCCGCGCCTGTCAGCCCCCGGCCGGCGACTCCCGCCCGGGCGCCGCCCAGCCACCGCCCAGCCGCCCAGCTGGTCAATCTGCCCCTGTGGCATGCTGTGCCGCCGCGAGCGCCCCGCCGGGCGGGCGGCCCAGACACTACAGTGGGTATCATCGGGATTCTGAGACATCGGTTTACACAATCGTCACTACCGTTAACAATATAAAAGGTCATCACGAAAAATGTGCTTAGCCCATATGTATAACGGTAGTTACGATAGATTCGGTCGCAAAGTTTTTAAAACTTATGGATCGGTGCAGATTTTTGAGAGAATTCTATAAGAATTCAGAGGAGCTTTGAAAGAGTGTTCAGAATTATAGGGTGTTTTTAAAGGACATTGGAAGGTTCATGTAAGAGTATAGATAATATTTTTGGAATCATAGTAGAGTCAAAGAAGAGTTTCAGATGAATTTTATCCGAGTTTGGTGTCGAAGAAGGGTTGTATCGAGAGTCAAAAATTACTCTCACATTTACAGGAGTAATTACAAAAATTACTCTTAGGAGGGGCACCAAATGTAGGGGCGCCAGACGGTTACGACGGCGCCGTGAGACCATGAAAAGGGCGCCATTCTCCTAGATGGGCGCCGAGTGATTGAAAACGCTATGTGGTCCAGGGGTGCTGAGAGGCCAGAAGGGCGCCGAACAGTCGAGGGATGCACGGTGGAAAGAGACCTAAGGGCGCAAGACGGCCAAGAGGGCGCCGTTAGCCCATGAGAATGGCGCGGTGCTGTCAAAAGAGCGCCATTCTCCCAGAAGGGCGCCGAGTGATTAAACGCGCTATATTATCCAGGAACGCGAGACGGTCAGGAGGACGCCGTTAGAACATGCGAAGGGCGCCGTTTTTTTTCGAAATGACGCTTGTTAACCCTCGCCGGCACAGGGATCAATGTTACACCTACCCTTAAAATTTCATGACCCTGACCCAAATGACCTTTGACCTGTGACCTCTTTTCCGAGACCATGTTTGGCCGGAATCGCGATTCGGCGTATGTCGGCTCGCATTAGCCGCGCGTTTGCAAGTTTTTCGTGGTTTCAAACGTTCAAACATGTGAGTTGATGTTGCTCCCATACATTAGGCTGGGTGTCAAGGTCACCTGAAGGTCTGGTCGGGTCATTGACCTTTGGTGACCTCGGGTGACCTCGGTTCACTTTTTCGAGTTTTACATGTTTCTAGGCTAGTTTTTGGAGCTGAATTCGAATTTAGCAACCATTTGAACATTTACGAAGTAGTTTTGGTGCCTTCGTAACATGTTACGAAGCTGTCAGAGGCGGTTGACACGTATTACGAATACCCGTCACAACCCTTACCGGTTGACCTGACCTGACCTGACCCGACCTGGTCTAAATGCTTAAAGACATCATCTCTGATCAAAACTAACACGATATTCGTGATCAGCACCCCGGAATACCACATAGCAGCCACACTTTACGACTTTTTAACAGGTCCCGATTTTGCCGGTTTTCGGGTCATTGACCTGACCTGGAAGGTCACCCGATGACCTAGGACCTTAAAATTGGGTATCAGCGGCTTCCTCTCGTGACGGGCAACACGCTCTTTTTTTCCGCGAAGCTCTAGCTCGATCAGGGGCCAAACGCGAGGGGGGTCGTACCCCCACCCCCTTGTGCCGTCGAAGGACGCAAAATGGCTTGTGCCGGCGAGGGTTTAAGACTTGTGGGTGCATTTTCATCATTGTGGGAGCATAATTCAGGATTGTGGGTGCATGCATCTGCCCCCGTGTTAACCCTATTCCTGGCGGGGGGGGGGCCTCAGGAGCCCCCCCCCCCCTGAGGTTTTTTGGTTATTTCTCCCAAACGCGTTGAGCTAGGAAGCTCAAATTTTCTGACTTTTCCTAAAAGGCTTCTACGCAACATGTCTGAAAATTTTGAGTTGATCTGACCTCAGGTCAGGTCACCAGAGGCGGTTTGGTGACACTACCTCAGAAAAGTTTGCAATCACGCCAGAGCTAGAGTTTTTGACCGATCAATTTCTTCTCTTCAGGCTTTAGTTAGGGTACCAGTATGTGCAATTTGTATATCTCGGAATTTTGATATCGGTGACCTAAGGTCAGGTCAGTTTCGCGACCTCCCCATTATAAGTCAATGGGGGAAAAATCAACTCCCTGTTTTTACCACTAAAACGGGTCGGAATGGCCCCATATACCATACATGACTTCATATACGATCAACCTTCACTACCTTGAGGTCTGTTTTGCTGTTGGGCAGCTGTGAGGTCATGTGACGTCATCAAAGGTCACCAAAGGTTTTTGGCCAATAACTCCGTACAGGAACAAGATACAGACGCGTGGATGGTCTCATTGTGTTCAGCTCGTCAAGACGCATCGAATGATATACATGATGACCTCGAGGTCACGTGACCTGAGGTCAACCTTTGACCTTGACCTTTCGAGGTCAACATATATATCATTCGATGCGGATTGACGAGAGGATCACGATGATGCCCTTAGTTTGTTCCTATCTTGACTAATTCGAAAGTTATTCGAGAAAAACTCTCTCCATATCTAGCGCCGCCATTTTGACTTTTTCGACCCCTGTGACGTCATCTTTGACCTGACCTGAAAATGACCTTTGTAAAAATTGTAGACCTTGTCCATGCGTATCCGATGCCGTTTACCGCTTGTCGCTATCTTGCTTCGTTCTCGAGATCTCAGGGGGGGCCGAATCGCCCCCCCCCCGCCAGTTTCTTGTCCCGGCGGAGCCCGCCAGGAATAGGGTTAAGTTGAAAATCCGTAGGTGGTATATTGCCGTTCTCCTACACCTCCGTCCGGTCCCCGCTGACCACGGCCGGCGGCCGCCGCCCGGTCCGACCCGTGACCGCGGCCCAGGGCGACACGCCCACAGAGGCGCGCCCAGCGGCGCGTTCAATGCACAACAAGTCGCGAGATAAATAACCTCACACATCTCCCCCTAAATTACTCGCACCCCCTTCACGCGTGACGCTGCGGATCGACCAATCGAACATGTCGGCTATCGAGCATGTCGAGGCCTACCCGCGACGCCCGCGAAAATTGCCCACGACGTGTCTCAACTTGCCCCGCCCATTACGTGCGCAAATGACCTCTCTGTCCGTCCAAACCGTAAACGCAGAAAAATGATCATTAAGTTAGCATGTAGCTTACGAGAAACGAAAGGCGGCTCTACTTACCTCATTCTCCCCGCGGCCGCTACTGAAAGTTACACGTAGCTGGCCAGACGCGTTTGGAAGATAATAGCGAAACACGGAAGGGGGCAGATTCTGCTTCCTGCGCCTCATCCGTATCTTGGCAACTTTCGCGACTGCAAATTGTTAAGACAGCGACGGCATGAGCCGTTTGACTCAAGTACGGTAAACATTCCTGGAGCACACGCGTTCTGGAACTAATTATAATAACACATACCCTTGGATGGTGCAATGTGCACTGTGCAGTAGGTATTAGACGGCGTTGATGATAGCCTACACAAGTACACACCAATATCTCTGCGGTGGGCAGTGACAATCTCGTTAGAAAACCGGTGCTTCCGCTCTTATTCTTGTCACCGGTAGGAAGAGTGGTCAGACAAGTTTGGGGCAGTTGTATCGGCACCGGCTGCCTCGAGAGCCGCGCAGGTATAAAGGCGAACGGACGCGGTGCAGAGGACAGAACATTGCCAGCAGGGCAAAAGTCAAGATGAAGCTCATTGGCCTGCTTGGCGTGATTGTAAGTTCTTTAGGATAGATTAGTATAACGCTTGCATATAAAACTATCCTCAACGTCGCAAATACCAAAATAGGCGATTGATAACCTGTATGAATATATCTTACATTGATCAACATATTTATGTATCAATATTATAATGCTAATAAATATAAACCTATCCCAGTTGTTTGTTTTCTGCCGTATATTATTGTGATGTATTAGAGTAGGCTTGTGTCTCGGCTTTGTGATATCGTTATTGCTCTTTTGCACGCCAGCAGCAGTGCTCTAACGCGCCGTTATTCCTTTCAGCTCGCGGGAGCAGCCATCGCCGCCCCTCCACAGCAGCCGCATGATGCTGCAAGTGCCAACGTGACCTCCGAGGCGGCCCCCACCAACGGGTCAGCCACACAGCGCGAGGGGCGTGACTTCTTTGGCAGCCAGCTGAGCTGTGCCACGACAGGGGACATCCAAGTGGGCACGGCTAACGTGCTGTCAGCCGTGAGCATAGAGCTGGCCCAGCAGCGCAGTCAGCTTCAGAAGGACATCATCAGTCGCTGCGGCGGCGGCAAAGCCGACGTCTGTGACCTGCATCCGCTGCTGAAGGCACAGGGCGACGCCGCCAAGAGCATCCAGTGGCTCAAGACCGACCAGGAGAGCGTCAAGGCGGCACTGTCGGAGGTCAGGTCCGTGGTGCTCAGCGGCCAGGCCTCCATCGCCCAGGGCGTTACCGGCCTCCAGTCCAGTCAAGAGGAGCTCAAGGACGCCGTGGCCGACACCAAGACGATGCTCACGAGCGGCCAGGGGACCATCATCAACGACATCACTGAGCTAAACGCCGAGCTAGGCAGAGTCGAGAAGGCAGTCATCCGTGGGCAGGGTGATATTGCAACGGGCGTCAACCGGCTGGAAACGGGTGTCGAAGAGATCAAAACCGCCATTGGAGGTGAAGCCAATGGACTTCAGAGTGGTCTCAGCACGATCGTGTCGAACATCAGGGAACTCTCAACCGACCTGGCCGAAACCGAGAGTGCCATTGTCGAACGGCAGTCGACAATTACCAACAGCTTGGATGATATTCAGACAAGGCAAAACGGCCTCTTGGCAGCAGTGGACAACACAAAAGATATGATTGTCGAGCGCCAGATTGGGATTGCACATAGTCTGGATAGCCTTGAGGACGGCCAACATGATATTTTGCACGCGATCAAGGACACTAAGAATATGATAACGGGCACTCAGGGCACCATCGTAGGCAGTCTTCAGAGCATCATGAGTCGTCAGCCTGAAATTATCGGTACCATAACAGCGGGAAGGAACGCTCTCGAAACCAAGATCGATGCTGTCGAAGGAGACATCAACAACTTAGAATCAGGACAGTCAGAGCTTCTGAATGCGATACAGAGCACAAAGGACATGATTGTCAGCCGTCAAGAAAGTATTAGCAGTGACCTGAAACACCTGAAGGAAGGGCAGAGTCAGCTAGAGGATACAATTCACCACGCAAAAGATACCATCCTGGCTGCTCATGAGCATACAGATCATGATCACGGCTCGCCTGATGTCGCTCATCTGGCTGCCAAGCAGCATGAAATACTGAACGCTATTGAGTCCGTAAGGCACTCCATCAAAGAATGTCAAGAAAGCATTGAATCATTGGAGCACCAGCTTGAACATAACGAGGATCGCCTTTTGGCCCAGCTTGACGACACGAGGCGGGACATTTTCAGGGTGCTGCGAGATATCTTAGATCGACTGGAGGATGTCGAGGATCGGGAGAGTGAGGGAGATTAATGAGCTGATGATTGCATGCAATATTTGGTATAGTATTTATAAAAAGGCGGGTTAGCAAATATAATATACACTCGGATGTTGGTTTGCAATAGCAATATGGAAGGGTGTATATGGTAATGATCGGGTGTTAGAGTGTTGGCCGTAAAATATGTCGCGGATGTTATTTTTAGATGAATGTGATTTAATTTGAAATTACTTACATACTTGTTATTGTATCAGTCATGTTGAAGTGCGTGCAACTGTAAAGATGTCGATCAAGAACTATAAAAGGTGCTAGGCATCGTGAATGTGTCAAGGTGTGTGAATTATTGACGTAATGGCTATGACAAATAAACGTTATTAATATGCAAGTTTTCGATGAATCTTTCTCCACTCTCCAGATCAGATCCTTGTTCAGTTTCTGCCTTTTGTTCTTCAGTTCGCCTTGCTTTTCATGAGCGAACCCCTTAGAATGGCTTTGTAGAAATATTATTCGTAACGTGTACCTATAGGTACTAGGTACGATTCGCTCAGGAATTAAACACTTACATATTTTGATAGCCCATTTAACAACGACTTCCGGAACACCATTCGCTATAAATGAAGCTGTCCAAAACTGGACATTGGGTTCTACTGGGGCGATGGATCATGCAGGCACCGTTCGGAGCGGGCAGCTAAACGTCAATCACTCCGGAAGTTCGTGTAGTCACCTGGCTCCCGCACGGAGCGCCCCGCCCTCCCCCCTAATCGATACAGGCAGGTGGGGAGCAGGGGCCGGGCCGCGGCACCAGCCGCCCCGGCGGGGGAGCGGGGAGCGGGGATCGTTGGCCGTCGGTACCGGCAGTCCTGTCGGTGTCGGCGTCGAGCCTGGTGTGGTGTGGGGTGCTGTGGCAGGGATATGAAGTAGTGTGTGCTTTGGTGTAACTTTGTAGTCTGCGTCACACGGACTGGCTTGGTGCTGTGAGCTATGACGTTATATTCGGAAATGAAGGGTGCATAATACCTACCGTGACAAAACGCCGAGTGATCTATGAACATAAGGTATGCCTTCCGTAGGCTGTAAAGCCGTTGTTTTGTTATATTTCTCATAAACTTATCACACCTGTAAGTACTTCCATTCATGATCAAAGTTGAAGCTCTTGCAGTCAAATGTTGTCATAGCTGTAACTGGAGTGAGGTGACATTTTTTTCGTCTTCGAGAAAAGGGCGAGAAGTTCATATTAAGTGCACTAATCAGTTAGCACGTGCACTTGCAGTTACTGGATACCGTCTCGCAACAAAACATCTCACGTGCCGTAATCACGGAAGCCCGGACAGCATGCTGATGCCGCATGGAAAGCTTAGCGATAAAAAACGAGCTTTATGGTAATTTGGAACTCCAGCTTCATCACTAGTTGTAACCGCCGCCCAGAGGTCATTGGGCAGCGATGTTTTCTTTTCCCCAATTTGCCGCCTCCAATTAATAGAACCTTGAACAGGGCGTGGCACGCGGTGAAGCGTGGCCATTGACACGTACGATTGTGATACTGGGACGTCAGATCCCACAAAAGTAAGATTATTGTCCATTGATAATTGATTAATGTATGCAATGCTTTGAAATGATTGGTCTTTGTGTTGTTCGTGTGTCCATGTGTATTATTTTTTGTTGATACTATTGTTTGTTTCAGGTTTTACGTACAATATAGCGGCACCTAGTAGAATGGCGGTTTATCTGTAGAAATTGATTTGAATGGCCGTTACAGTAAAACTTTTGGATCTAGTCCTGATTTTGAGAGACTTTGTAGTTGAAAGATTGTCTTTATTTTCTTCTTTTAACAGTTTCAGTTGCACTGAATGAATATCAACTGGTTGTAGATTCTAGGGCAGTCAGTGGTTACGCAGGGTTGTTAGTAGGATTCCCCCTGTCGTATCATGCATGATGGCTGACTAGTAGAGGTGTTTGTAGCTAGACACACCTGTATTTGTCACTTTGACCTTGAGTTTTGGCCTCAGCACCTGGACGTCTGACCTTGACGTGTTAACACTGGTTTTGGGTCACAATGTTTTGTGCTTCATTTTTGTTTTGTTATTGCAGTATTTAAACTATTATTTGCACCTCTTACATTTATTTAAGTAGTGAAACTAAATCCTGTGCCATCTTTTCTTGAGCAATTCCTTGCCTGGTCCACAATGAGTGACGAACAGAGGATGTTGTCTGCGAAGGGCAGGGAGCTGCGGACAACTGAGAAAGGTAGATGCTACCAGGCTGCTCAGAAGTCAAAGCTGTACAAGCAGTTATTGAAGAAGCTGAGATCACGTGGCAGCTTACTGTTGGAGTCTGTTGAGCAGGAAGAAAAGCCACAAGTGATCAGGAAGGACTTTGATGTCTGGAAGCATGATTATGTTGATTTTGTGCAAACATATGAAGTGATATGCTCCCTGATGGAAGGTGAAGAGAGAGAAAACCTGAATCATGACAAGAACCTCACTGAAGTGAATGAGCTGAAAGGCAAGGTGGAGGCTCACCTGTCTTCAGTCTCCGCAGATGATGCTACTCCTGCAAGATCTGACGCTGGTGGATCACGTTCAAGCAAGTCATGTGCCGGCAGCGAAGTAAAGACACAGGTTGTGCTCATGAAGCTCAAGATGCAGCAGGACAGAGCAGAGCTGGAAGCAAGAGCTGCAATGAGTAGTAGAAGGCTGCATCTGAAGCAAAAACAAGAACAGCTGCTGCTGGAGCAAGAACAACTGGATATAGAAACAGAAATGAACATAAATGAAGCCAAGCTGAGGGTGGTTGACCAGTTTGATGTTGACAGAGAGGAGGGAGCAAGTCAAGACCCAAGTGATGAAGTTGGACCTGGTGCAAAGGAGGAGAATACTGAAGTGGTCACTGGAACTGGAGCAGTACACTCGGGGGCAGATTGATGTTCTACAACTCTTTATCCACCGGGTTCCTATGGCTCAGCATTGGCAGCAGCCGCCTGGTACCGGTAGACTGTGCCGCTTCACTTACTTGTCAAGCGGCACAGCCTACCCACACCGTATGACACCGGTCTGGGTCGGTGGCTGGAAGGTGATGTGGGCCGCCTGTGACGTCAGCGCAGCGGTGAGGGTCGAGCCCGGAGGCATGGCTCGGGTCGGCGCGGCGCGGCGGCTGGCGAGGGCTGGGGAGTGAGGTGGCATGGACCATCGCGCGGCTGAGCGAGTGTAGTTAACTTTCGCGTCTCAAGGTGGCAATTATTTTACCTAACAATTGTGCTAAAGCAGTTGTTAAAATATCCTATGCCCAAGACAGCGCCGATCATCATACTTGCCATGAGCATTACGACACACTTTAACGTCGCATTGGGACAGCCGATAGAATTTATATCACACGTGCATCGAGCTGCGGAGCTGCATTATTTATAACAGATAAGTATTAAGGCCTTGATTGAGCTCATTGGTGTCTATTATTTCGCACAGCAATCGTCCAGAGACGTGGGAACTGCGGTTTTTGGACAGCGCGGCAGCCAACGCCCCAACTTTAAGCAAATCTTACTGTTCCTCTAATGTGTGATCGCAGCCACCAATAGCAAACCGTTCAACTAGGAGCAAATAAGTCTCGCACCCGGGACGGTTCGAACCGGGATTCTCCAACCGGTCACCCTACGGCCATGGGTGTAGGAGCGCCAAAAATATTGGTGAAGGATGTCACCTGAACCTTCGGAGAAGTCACCTAAACCTTCGGAGAAGGTGTAGGACCTTACCGCAGTGGAGGGGGGGGGGGGGAAATTTCGCCAACTCCTGTTTTTTTCTCGCAAATGTCTCACGCCATTATCATCTAATTAACGCCAACTTTTCAGTACATGCCTAAAATTGAATTTTTAGGTATCCAAGCATACCTTTGGATACCTACCAAAGGTATCCACTATCAAAGCATACCTTTGGAACCTAAAGGTATGCTCCACTGCTCTTTTTTCGTGACCAGTCTTACAACTTACCCACGAGTAAAAACAAGCCAATATATTTTGATATTCACGGCATTTACTGAGACACATTGACACGTTTACCAACCTCAATACAGTTTTCGACTTTACCTATCATTACGGAGCGAGCGAAGCGAGCGTAGTCTTTCCTTAGATTAACGGAAATTTCTGAGTATGAGCTCGGCCGGCCGGCCGTGGTCACGATTCTGCGACGCTTATATCTCAGCAACCACTTGACCGATTTACACGCGGTAATTTTTGTAGGGTAGCTTTATTCCTTCTACCAAGTATTGGACTATTCCCGATGCATGTGGGTGACCCCTTATGCACGTGCCACGTGCAAAACGAAGAGGTGTCTTTTTTGTAATTGTTGCAATATCTCGGTAACTACTTGGCCGATTGCGCTGAAAGTTGGCATGTAGGTAGGCACCCACTAGGCAATGCATATCCATGTGCCAGAGTTGGGGTGCTGTTGCACGTGCGCACGTGCAGGGGTCGATTCCAGATCTCGAGAATGGCTGGACCGATGGCGCTCAAATTTGGTACACAGTTAGGGACCGGTTAGTATAGGGTGCCGTGCAAAAGTCAGTTGGGACCCATTTTGCACGTGCGCACGTGCAGGGTGCCGCTTCCAGATCTCGAGAACGACTGGGCCGATTGTGCTCAAATTTGGCACATCGCTAGAGACCGGTTAGTAGGGTGCCGTGCACAAGTCAGCTGGAGGTATCCCGTCGAAATTTCGCACGTGCAAAGCTCACCCTCTCGCTCGCTCCGTTAGTCGCCCCAAAAGGCGTTATGTACTGGTTTATTAAATGGCGTGAATTGTGAAGAAGGTGGGCATAACACTTCATAACTGAAAGGATGGAGTAATTGGGTACCTGTTGCCGTTTTAGCCTTTTTGTTCATCCCATTCGGCATTGCTTTTCTTTTTTAACATTAGATCGACCGTCGAACCCAGTCGTTCTAGCATTGGTGAAGACCCTCACCTGCATTGCTCAAGATTGGTGAAGGATCCTTCACCAATCTAAAACTTTGGTGAAAGGTATCCTTCACCAAAGAGATACGTTGCTACACCTATGCCTACGGCACTATAGCGTGCATCCACTGAGCTACCGAGACCAGCGACCACTCGTCGCGGTCAAACGCGATCAAATGTCACAATACTGTCATTGGCGGTCAGCGGGTGAATGTCACTTTGTTTTCTGCTGCTGGGGGCCATTCTTGGTAGCTCAGTGGATGAACGGTCGTATCGTAAGCTGACCGGTGGGGGAAGCCCGGTTCGAACCCTTCTGAGTGCCCGAATTTTTGGCTCCTAGTTGGAACGGTTTGCTATTGGTGGCTGCGACCACATATTAGAGGAACAGTAATAATCGCTTTAAATTGGGGCGTTAGCTGACGTACTATACCCATAACCCTAGTTCCCACGTCTCTAGACGATTGCCGTGCGAAACAATAGACACCAATCTGCTCAATCAAAGCCTTAATACTAACATGTTACACAAAATATAGCTCCGCACCTCGATGCACATGTGACATAAGTTCTATCGGCTGTCCCATTGCCACGCTTAAGTACTTCGTAATACGCATAGCAAGTAAATAATAGGCGCTGTTTTGGGCATAGGGCACTTTAACAACTGCTTTAGCACAATTGTTAGGTAGAATAATTGCCGCCTTGAGACGCGAAAGGTAACTACACTCGCTCAGCCGCGCGATGGTCCATGCTCCCACCCTCCCACCCCGCCTCACTCCCCAGCCCTCGCCAGCCGCCGCGCCGCGCCGACCCGAGCCATGCCTCCGGGCTCGGCCCTCACCGCTGCGCTGACGTCACAGGCGGCCCACATCGCCTTCCAGCCACCGACCCAGACCGGTGTCATACGGTGTGGGTAGGCTGTGCCGCTTGACAAGTAAGTGAAGCGGCACAGTCTACCGGTACCAGGCGGCTGCTGCCAATGCTGAGCCATAGGAACCGGTGGATAAAGAGTTGTAGAACATCAATCTGCCCCCGAGTGTACCAAGAAATGATGTCTCCATTGATGCTGCAGTCCAAGTGAAGGATAATGTACAAGGTACAGGAAGAAACGACAAGACAGCCAATGGTCGAGTGGAGGATGATGAACCCAGCACTCAAGCAGCACTACACAGACTGGCAGATCTGCTTACTGAGCGACACAATGGTAGTAGGCTTCCCGTGCTGGAACCAGGCACCTTCAGTGGCAACATTGAGGAGTTTCCAATGTGGCTGAAGTCTTTTGAAACCTATATTGAACATCAGACATCCTCTCCCATCGAACGCCTTCACTTTCTAGGAAAGTACACAGCGGGTGAAGCCAAGACAGCCATCCTGGGCCTGCTCCACCTGAGGACAGATGAGGCTTACTCGCAGGCGAAGGCGAGACTGAATGACAGGTTCGGAAACGACTTCATCATATCCAACACGTATCGCATGAAGTTGAGGAGCTGGCCCGCAATCAAAAATGAAGATGGTCGTGCTCTCAGAGACTATGCTGATTTCCTCGAGCACTGCCAAGCGGCAGCTGCGGGTCCTCTTCGCCACCTAGGAATCCTGGATGACTACCTGGAAATTCAGATGATGGTGAAGAAGCTGCCCAAGTACCTGGTGGACAGATGGAAGAGGGAGGTGGACAAGTGGCTCTACGATGAAAGGGGCGTTGCTAAAAGGAGACATCCACCGTTCTCAGAGTTTGTCCGTTTTGTCGGCATCGAAGCCAGGATTGCTTGCGGACCAGTGGATGTACCCAAGTGTGAAGAAACGCGACAAGCCCCACAGAAGACACAGAGTAAGGCCAGGACTTTCATGTCCACAACGGGTGTGAAGAGGGCCAATGGAGGAACTCAAGTGGACACAAGGAAGCCTTCAACATGCGAACTGTGTCAACACCAGCACAAGATAAGCGACTGCGACACCTTCAAAAGGATGACTGGAACTGAACGGAACAGCAAGGTCAACGAGCTGGGACTGTGTCGAGGCTGCTTAAGAAGAGGACACAGGTGGAGGGAATGCCGCTCAAGATGCAAGTGTGATGAGTGTGGCAGGTGGCACCCTACGATTCTGCATGATGAGTCACTTCTCAAGAAAGCTGAGGTTCAGCCTGAAGGCCAACGGAGGACGTCCCACGCGGCACCGCAGGCGACTTCATTCTGCTCGGGCTCTGTGTCAGATGCTGAAGGAGGAGGCTGCTGTCACTCACTGGTGGTGCCAGTGCTACTGAGTCATGTTGACAACCCGGAACACAGCGTGCTGGTGTATGCTGTACTGGACGCTCAGTCTGATGCCTGTTTTGCTTCAGAGCCTGTTTGTGAAGCCCTGAAAGTCGACGGAAGAGCCACGAAACTGGAGCTGAGCACTATGACGGGGAAGTCGGTCATCAGCAGCCGAGCGGTACAGGGTCTGGTGATCCAGCCCCTGACAGCAGATGAAGCCATCAGACTGCCATCAACCTACACTCGTCCTGAAATCCCATGCTCCAAGAAGGTCGTTCCTAAAAGGGAGACAGCCATGAATTGGAAGCATCTGGAGAGAGTAGCCAGTAAAATGCCGGAGTTCTTCCCTGGCGCACCAGTGGCTCTGCTTTTGGGGACCAACTGTTCACGCGCCATCAAGCCACTGGACGTGGTTTCTGGTAAGGACGACGAGCCCTGGGCGATCCGAACCCACCTGGGGTGGGGCATCGTTGGCTGTCTCGGTGGGAGCAACGACCCGGACGCGACGTGTCATCTGGTGGACACTAGCGATGGTCACCCCAAACGTTGTCATTTCGCCTTCAGATCACAGGTGCGCGAGGTGAGCCCACTGGAGGTGCTGAAGGTGCTCGAATCCGACTTCCAGGAGACTGGCCGAGAGGATAAGACAGCTTTATCGATCCAGGATCAACAGTTTGTGAAGAAGATGAGTGAGGGACTCGAGCACCGCGAGGATGGCCATTTTCAGATGCCGCTGCCACTGAAGAATGACAAAGTGTCCATGCCAAACAACAAGACAGTCGCCATGCAAAGGCTCAAAGGACTGAAGGCGAAGCTGGTGAGAAACGAGGCCTACAGACACGACTACACCGGCTTCATGGCGGCGACGTTAGAGAAGGGCTACGCAGAGAAAGTCCCCAGTGAAGAACTGGAGCTGGATGATGGCAGGGTTTGGTACATTCCGCATCACGGGGTGTACCACCCACAAAAGAACAAGATTCGAATCGTATTTGACTGCAGTGCAGAGTTTCGGGGTCACGTGCTAAACAGCCACCTCTTACAGGGACCGGACCTCACAAACAGCCTCACCGGAATCCTGTGCCGTTTCCGTAAGGAGCCTGTGGCGGTTTCCTGCGACTTGGAGGCGATGTTCAACCAAGTGGGAGTCGACGTCAGGGATCGCAACTTGCTCAGGTTCCTGTGGTGGGAGGATGGCGATTTGAAAAGAGACCCAACTGAGTACCGGATGAAGACTCACCTATTCGGTGCCACCTCGTCACCCGCGTGTGCAATGTTTGCACTCAGAGCTGCTGCTGATTGTCGGCGAGGTGACACTGAAAGAGAGGCCGCCGACTTTATGAAAGGTGATTTCTATATTGACGACGGTCTTATCTCTGTACCAGACGCCGAGACAGCGGTCAAACTGATTGACACGACCAGAAAGCTCTGCGCACGTGGAGGCTTCACTGTTCACAAGATCCTCTCGAACAGCATTGATGTCGTGAAGTCGGTGCCGATGGAGAGTCGCTGCGCTGGACTTCGGAGTCTAGATGTCGGTTCCGGTGATCTTCCCGTTGAGCGGACTCTGGGAATCGACTGGGACACGGACACCGACATGTTATCCATCCACGTCACGCCGAGAGTCAGAGAAGTGACCAGAAGAGGAATACTATCAGTAGTAAGTTCGTTTTTTGATCCACTGGGCCTGGTGTCTCCTTTCATCTTGAGAGGGAAATTGCTACTGAGGGAGCTGTGTCGTGAGGGCTGCGGATGGGACGATCCCGTGCCCAGCGATGTGGCTGACGCATGGAAGGAGTGGATGGAGAGTATGTTGGCTCTGAAGATCGTGAGTGTTCCACGATGCTATGTGGAAGGTGGGCTGCAGGACAAGATGACTGTAGAGCTGCATCATTTCTCCGACGCCAGCGCTGTGGGCTACGGGCAGTGCAGTTACGTGAGGACGGTTGACCAAAATGGACTGGTCAACTGTTCACTGATCATCAGCAAGGCTCGTGTGGCACCAACCAAGCCGGTTACGGTGCCAAGGCTCGAGTTGACCGCTGCCGTACTCTCTGTGAGGATGAGCAAGTTCCTCCAGGACGAACTGAAGCTGCAGCACCTACAAGAGTTCTACTGGACAGACAGTAAGGTGGTGTTAGGCTATATTTCGAACGAAGCGAGACGTTTTCACGTTTATGTCGCGAATCGAGTTCAGGAAATTCGCAACCATACTGAGCCAAGTCAGTGGAGGCACGTGACAAGTGAGGAGAATCCAGCCGATCTTGCCTCCCGAGGCATCAGAGCCGAGGAACTGGTGGACAGTGCCTTGTGGTGGCACGGACCTGCCTTCCTGTCCCGTGCGGTCCTGCCGGAGGGCGAGGGACCACGGGAGGTTGGAGACGAAGATCCTGAGGTGAAGTCACGCTCTGCTTTCAGCTTCGCCACAGCAGCGCGGGAGGAGTTCGCTGGAATTCCGAAGAGGCTCGAGTGCTTCTCTAGCTGGTGGCGAGCCAAGCGAGCAGTAGCGACGTGCGTCCTGTACGTGAGGAAACTTCACCACCTCGTGATGATGAAGAGGAGTGCCGTGCAGTCACGAGATGTTCCCAAAACGCAAGTCGGAGTAGAAGAACTGGAAGAAGCAGAGAGGATCATTCTGACAGCATTGCAGCGACAGGAGCTGCCAGGTGAAGTCGACCGCGCTGGACGATCGGGACAGGCAAGGACGGTGGGAGCCGGCCGGCGGACCGCCACGGTTCCCAAAGAGTTGTCTCGTCTCGATCCAGTTGTGCGAGACGGGTTGATCTGTGTTGGTGGGAGGCTTCGCAGGAGCGGTTTTCCAGAGAGTGAGGTGCACCCTGTTATCATCCCCAACCGAAGCCATGTGACGTATCTGATCGTCAAGGAGTGCCATGAGAAAGTCGGACATGCTGGGCGAGGTCTCACTCTCGCTCGACTGAGGTCATCTGGCTACTGGGTCGTCGGAGGGAGACGATCGGTGGCACGCCTGATTCTGAAGTGTGTCAACTGCAAGAAGCTCCGTGGCCACGTTCTGAATCAGAAGATGGCCGACCTGCCGCATGACAGACTGGAACCTGCGGCGCCTTTCACCTATTCAGGCGTGGACTTGTTTGGTCCATTCCTGGTACAGGAGCGACGGAGTGAAGTGAAAAGGTGGGGCGTTCTCTTCACGTGCATGTCGTCTCGGGCAGTGCATATCGAGACGGCAAACTCACTGTCGACGGACTCTTTTCTTAACGCCTACAGACGGTTTGTGAGCCGAAGAGGCCCGGTGAGGGTGCTGCGAAGTGACAGAGGCACAAACTTCGTGGGCGGGAAGAGAGCCTTAGAGCAGGCTTTGGACGAGATGGACGACGACAGGATACGCAGAGAGCTGGTGAAGGAGAACTGCGACTGGGTCATCTTTCGGATGAATGTCCCAACAGCCAGCCACGCAGGAGGCGTCTGGGAGCGTATGATTCGCTCCGCTCGGGCTGTCTTGGGCGGTCTCGTTCAGGAATGTCACGGGGCTCGGCTGGATGACGAGCTCCTGCGAACGCTGCTCTGCGAAGTGGAAGCTATCGTTAATAGCAGGCCTCTCACATCCTTCAACATGACTCCCGATGAACCCCACCCAATCTCACCCATGACTCTACTAACACAGAAATGTAATGTAGTGCTTTCGCCGCCTGGTGCCTTTCAGAGGACTGACGTCTACTGCCGTCGTCGCTGGCGACGCGTCCAGTACCTGGCAAACCGGTTCTGGCAACGATGGCGCTCCGAGTTCCTCCCGAGTCTCCAGGAAAGGAGGAAATGGGCGACAGCGCACGAGAACATCGAACTAGACAGCGTCGTGCTCGTTGTCGACGACAACTCTCCCCGCTGCAAGTGGATGCTGGGGCGCGTCACGCGGCTTCATCCGTCCGACGACGGATTCGTCCGGCGGGTCGCCGTACGCACGAAAGACGGAACATATGATCGACCGATACAGAAGCTGGTGCGGCTCCTCCCGTAGGCGCCGACTTCGGTGGCGCTCGGCGGAGCTGGGCCGCGCGCTGCTGGTGGCTCCGGCGGCGCTCTGCGGGGCCGGGCCGCGCGCTGGTGGTGGCTTCGGCGGTGCTTGAGCAGAGTTGGCGGCTGCAGCCATCTACGGCGCTCAGTGGGGGCTGAACTGTGTGCAGCTGTCAGGCTGAGCTGTGTAGCTGCTGCGTAGCCTGGACTGCTGCGTAGCCTAGACTACTGCTGCGACCCTGAGCGTTGCGCGTGGGGCTGTCTGTGGCTCTGCCAGTGACGACAGTGGCTCATTTGATGATAGTGGCTCAGACGTTGAAAGTTTAACTGAGACATGCAGTTATGCAGTGCCTCAGAGCGTGCGACATAAACAGTTAACAGCCACCGACAGTGTGGTGGTTGTTGGTGCGTTGTGAACTGAGGAGAGTGGCACGTCAGCCGACGAGTGAGCTGACTAGTGTGTGTTGGCGCTACGTATCGTGAGCGGCTGCCGAGTGACGCTTAGTGATGGACGACGGGCAACTCCCGTGACGTAAGATGATTTCAGTTTGCCACCATCTTTACCGTCGTCGGTCGTGTGGCGCAGGATGGTTGCGCTCCGCGGTCGTGTTGCGCAAATGTGGACTGTCTTGTTATAGAATCGTGACCGATTGGTGGGAGTGTAACCGCCGCCCAGAGGTCATTGGGCAGCGATGTTTTCTTTTCCCCAATTTGCCGCCTCCAATTAATAGAACCTTGAACAGGGCGTGGCACGCGGTGAAGCGTGGCCATTGACACGTACGATTGTGATACTGGGACGTCAGATCCCACAAAAGTAAGATTATTGTCCATTGATAATTGATTAATGTATGCAATGCTTTGAAATGATTGGTCTTTGTGTTGTTCGTGTGTCCATGTGTATTATTTTTTGTTGATACTATTGTTTGTTTCAGGTTTTACGTACAATATAGCGGCACCTAGTAGAATGGCGGTTTATCTGTAGAAATTGATTTGAATGGCCGTTACACTAGTTATAAACCGTTTGTTCATGTTAGTGTTTGTGTTGTTATGCACATTCTATGACAATCGGCTTTTCTTCGTCCCTTTGTGAAAAACGAATTCGTTTCGGTGCAAATCCAAGCTATATTTTTTATTTAGTGTTGACATAAATAACAAAATAACGTCACGTGCTTCTGCACGTGTTCTAACGTTTTTTAGCAGCATGTTTTTTAGATGATAAATAGTCATACAAGGTGTCGACTGTCGACATCACCAGCTCCGTCGTCGTCTGATCGTGTAACTTCCGTTCACCGCTCGTGTCTTCACCGTCTGCCCGCCGTCTCCACACGGTGACACAGCTCTGCGCCATGAACGTCGCGACTCCTCCCGTTCTGCCGGCCCACGCCGACGCACGGTACGCCGAGGCTCTGTATCGGCTCAGACATCTACTGAGGGAGTACGACAGCAGCAGCCAGGCGGGCTCAGAGGCGGGTGTGTATCAGCACCATGCCAGCCAGCAGCCCGGCTGGCAGCAGCAGCAGCAGCAGCAGCAGCAGCACAGCTGGCAGCCGCAGCCTCCCGGTCGACTTTCGTTTCCAACGGCAGCAGCACAGGTAGCACTGGCCTCTCACGGCGCTACCTAGTACCTTCCGAGTCGCCCCATCGCCAGGAGGACCACATTGGAGGACACCCCCGCCACACCCACCACCGACCATCCAGGTCCATCCCCCGGACCTTCCGGTAACTGTGGAGCTTCCTCCGGGCTTTGAGCTGTCGCCACAGCGGCTCCCGCGGCGGCCACCGGCTCCGCCACGGGAGCAGTCGGCAGGTCGGCAGCCGCAGCAAGTCACTGCTGCTCCGCAGAGAGCATCGCCTTCTGCTCGGAGCTCTCCCATTGCTCTACCCAGGCAGAGGACGGGAGAGGAGGTGATGGAGGCGGGGACTAGTACCACGGAACTGGCAGCCACTGAGGGAATGAAGGTAAGAAGTTCAGAAGCGCTGTGTTGGGTACGAGGAATAGGATGGCACCGTTGGGTGAGGACCAGCAACTGGGCTATGGGCAGACAATGAGTGCATGAAGATGTCCGTCAATGAATATGTTCGTAGCCACCAAGCCAGAGCAGTAGCCAAGTTTGTTTTTTTGTTTATTTTTTAGCCTTCTCGTGTTGTCCTAACTTAAAGATGTGCTCTGCTACCAGGGATCAACTGACGGCTGCCACGGACAGTTTTATCCGGATCATCAACCTTGCCCTCTCGTTGGCAGGCACGGCAGCTCGGTCAGCTTGCTCGGAGGCAAGGGGAGCTAGTCGGTCAGCTGGAGCACGAAAACCAGCTACTCCGGAATATGATGGACGAGATGGAGCAGCACGTCCAGGAGCTTGTCGCAGAGAACAGGAATCTGACAGAGGAGCTCAGGTCAGTAGCCCCTCTTTGTGACGTTGCCACAGTCCCTGTCTCGAAATCCCGTTGTAGTGCGTGTGTTTTAGGCCGTTGCGTTCCACCATGCCAGTGGGGCTGATGTTTGTTTGATTGGCGTGCGTGTTTAACTATCTGAAGTCTTTTGTGTTGGCTTGTTAGTGTAGTTGGGCCAGGCAGAGACATGAGAAATCCTATTTTATTAGCATAACGGCAAAAATGAGCATCTTGTGGCTTTATGCATAAACTGGAAATTGGAATTGCATGCAATGGTAGCTGATAGGTAAACGTTTAGCGTAAAATAAAGATTACATTGGACTTTTAGTAAAAAATAACTAATTGGGCGTATGTATATAAAATTATTTTTCTTTTACGATAAGCAAAACGCATTTTGAATTATGAAGTAATAATCTGAAGCTCCTACGTGATCTACATAAGTAACCAACCAAGAACTATAGAGCCAGATGCTTCTTTATTGCTTTAAATATTTTTATATTGCCATTCAGATTATTTTCTTTCAAATTACATGCAGTAGAGCTGAACACTAGCTCTGTGAACAGTCTTAGCAAACCCACTCCTGACCGACTTGCCCACTCCATCTCACCAGGACCCAAGCTCAGCTGAACGACGAGCTGGGTGCCACGAGCGTAGCGGCTAACCCCATCAGCGTTGAACCGGACACAGCACAGGTCGCCAACGCAGAGATCGGCACATCCCAGCCCGCCTCTGCAACTTCAGCCGGCGGCAACCAGCAGTCAGCGGGCAGCGGTCAGCAATCAGCCGCTGGAGGTCAGCAGTCAGCTGCTGGAGGTCAGGGGGAACCCCCAGCCGGCAGAGGGAGGTCAGAGGAGCTGACCGATCAGGAGAGGGTGGAGCTGGTGCGGCTGAGGGCGGAGGCGGCGGAGCACCGGACGTGGATGGAGGAGGTGTACCAGCGGCAGCGGCAGCGGCAGGAGAAGGAGAAGGAGGAGCTGACACAGGCCCTGGGTAACCTCCAGGTCAGTTGTATCAGAGAATGGGTCGTGACTCACTTCAGATGCCTTAAATAACGGTTATTCACAGATAAAACGAGTGAAAACGTTTTTTTTCTTCCTCAAAATAAAACCAGAGCCGACTTCCTCAAGGTTGCTTGGTTTCATACAGATAACCGACAACCGACATGCATGATTATACCGTAAGTAATCGATGTTTTCGCATTGCAAGAGGTCTGTGACGAGGCAACCTATGAAATTCGCATAACAACATGAATAAACTGTCATAAGCACCCTCCCGGAAAATATTTGCCGATCGTTTGGTTTATATGTAGTGCGCGTTCTATCCGTGTCCCTACAGAGTCGTCTGGCAGAGCTTCAGTCTCGGGAGGAGGAGGCTCTCCGCAGGGTGACGGACAGTGTCCGGCTAGCCGAGCAGGCGCAGCTCGAGAAGGCAGAGGCACAAAACACAGCCGCTGCTCTCAGAAAGTGAGTAAAAAAGCAACAACTACGCGGGGCTAGCCTGCGGGCTTCAATGGTTTATCAGATACATTGTCATTATAAGAATAACCAGGTGACATCTGCCGCCGTGAAAGCTATTATCCACTTCCGAACTTTTACTCAGATTCTATTGACCAGCCACAGAGAGCATCTTTCCAAAATTTCATATCTTCCCCTTCTCCCCATTTCCCGCCGCAGAGACCTGGAGCACGGGCAGAGCCGCCAGCAGCGTCAGGCGGAGGAGCAGGAGCGTCGACTCTCTGCCGCGCGACAGGAGGCCCAGCAGGCCGTGGAGGCCAGCTTCGGTCGGATCACCAGCCAGCTGTCCGAACAGACCAAAAAGGTCGCAGAGGTGAGCCTATCAACAAAACTCGACAGCAACTGCGCTACTGTTCAGTTTCGGACCCACTGGGCAATATTTTACACTCGACCCTCTGGGCAACATAATGCTCATATTGCTATTTCTGCCGATGTCAAAATATATTTGCGATGGAAGAGTTTCAGGATGGAACTTAAGTGGTTAGTGAAGCCTACCTATGTATGACATGCCAGCTGTCTCCATAACCCGTTCCAAATTATCGCAATGGTAGGTCCTCCGAAGTGCATACCATATTTACGAGTTAGATGTTGTAGTTCCTACTCAGTACCACTCGTAATCTCTCTTTGTGACTCTAAAATATGACCGCCGCCGCCACTGTCAGCTGGAGGCAGCTCAGGAGGACTGGCGGAGACTGGAGCACGAGCTGCGGTCCGCCGCCGAGGATCAGGAACGCTCCGCCGCTGACTCCAGGCAGGAGGCAGACAGGGCGGCGGAGAAACATCGTCAGGAGCTCAGCCAGGAGAGACGGAGACGGGAGAACGTGAGTGGAGTGGAGTGGAGTGGAGTGGAGTCAGGAGTGAAGTGGGTGGGTGGGTGAGTGAGTGAATGAGAGATATATGAATGAATGAATGAATGAATGAATGAATGAATGAATGAATGAATGAATAAATCAATCAATCAATCAATCAATGGACAAATAAAACAAAAAAGTTAATAAGGAAAAATGAATGAACAATTGTGTAAATGAGTGATCAAATTAAGTAATAAGTGAATGAATGGACAAATGTGTAAACACAGGTGGAGCAAATGATAACGGAGTTATCACACAGCTCTATCAGTAATTGAAAGGAATAATGTATTGTCATGTCTGAGTCCGGTTTACTTACGAAACGCCCACTCGATCTCTGCCTCTCCCTGTGCCAGGATAACTTCCTTCTAGCTCGATAAATTCAAACCTTCTCTTTAATTCTGGCTCATGAACGTCTCAGTGCCTTCACTCCCACGGTGCTTCCGGAGCTGGGCAGCATCCGGGAACTTTTCCGGGCGCCCGGCTGGCGGCCGCCATCTTCTCGTCTCTGATTGGCTGTCGCTGGCCGGTAGGCGGAGTCTCGCCTGGAGACGGTGCGGGTTGAGGCGGAGCGGACGCAACAGGAGACTCGTCGAGACGCGGAGACGCAGCGGGCGGAAGTTGTCTCCCTTCGCAAACAGCTGGCTACGGCGGAGAACGCGCTGAATTCGGCGCATCGAGATAGAGTAGCTCTGCAGGAGCAGGTGGGCAATTAGCGAACAATGCAGCAGTCGTGCGAACCCGGCCCCGCCCCAGAAAAACGTCGTGGCAGGTAGAACCGGCCCAACCAGGCGTGCGGAACGACCTTGTTTCTGTGTAGGTCGGCGACACACTTACGCACGAGCAGATCGGCCAAATGTGTGCCAGTGCTGACAGTCGACAAACGATAATTAGGGATGTGTATGGATGTCTTTTTCACAGTATGAAATCGGAAGTGAAGCGAAACTGGTTTACGCAACCGGGGGGCTGACGGCCGTAGCACCTATTTCCAGATGACAGGAAAAGTTGCTTTCACGCCGAACTACTTACACCAGAAGAGTTCTGAAAAGAATTACCAAAACGAAAAACTATTAAACGGTTTCAGATAGCTTGATCGTGACGAGCTATATTGCGTTTTATTCAATTTGAGAAATGGTAAACGGAAACGCGGTGGCCGATTTACCTCCATAGATGTGTTGGGTATAACATATTTTTCTTTCTTTCATTGAAGTGTCTGAAGCAGATATCCGCTAAACCAGTCGTTTACGTCGACTCATCGCCAGGTGAACCAGCTGGAGCGGAAGCTGGCCGACCAGCAGATGGTCGCGGAGACGGCCAGACGTGGACACTCGGAGGACCTTCGATCGGTGACTGAGCGCGCCGCTGACCACGAGCAGCAACTCACTGAGGCGCTGCGAACGCTCAGAGAGGAAGCCGACAGTAGGACGGGTCAGCTGGAGGACATGCTTCAACAGCAGGTCGGTGGTGGTGGCGGACTGGAGTTCTGAGGTTTCCTATGAGAAAGGGAATTATTTTTACAATGATTCGTGAATGATTTTGACGATTTCTGCTGCGCATTGAGCATGGTTGCTGAGTGTTGTTAGCTGATACCAGGCCGCGCTGAGCTGCTGTGTCTCCGACAGACCCAGCTGGCCTCCCAGTTCGAGTCGGAGTGCGCAGCGCTGACCGCGGAGCTGGCGGCGGCGCACAGACGGCAGCAGGAGCTGGCAGCCGGCGCCAGTAGCCTCCAGCAGCGTCTGGAGGAGACAGAGGCGGCGCGCCGACGGCTCGAGTCGCGCACCTACCAGTACGGCCGGCATCACGAGGCACTGCTTCTGCGCGCCGAGGAGGTCCAGCGCCGACTGGACAGCAGCGAGACGGCAGCTGCGCAGCTGGCCGAGCGGCACCAGCAGCTGCTGATGGAGCGTCGCCAGCTGCGAGACCGGCTGGCGCTCACTCAGGTCGTGGGGTGAACAGAAATGTTGTTTGGACACCAATCGAAGGATAATGTGGTGGATGTGTGATTGATTTCAATGTTGTGTGGCATGTTATGTTGTGTCCAATAATAATCGTTACATGACGTGAAAAGGTCTCTCACTTTTGAACGAACTCCAGTATGCAGATTAGTGCCACTGTCACTTTCGTCAGCCACAATAGAACAATAGTGATAGTAAAACGACACAAAACACGTGTCAAGGAATAACAACAAGCTGGCTGGGTTTGATTAAAAATAAGCCGGATTTGCACATGGGCTATGGAAAGACGTGCTATGTATGGGAAGTCCAAAAAATTTGCTTCAGAAGATGTCAAATTGATGGGGGAAAGGCATTTAAAGTTTCCCGCTTTTATCCCTAAGCGCTCGGGAGCTATAGCAAATATTCGTCAGGAGGAGGGAGAGAAAAACGCGCTCCCCCAAGTCCATGTGGGTTGGGTATGCTATTTTTTTTTCTACCTGCCGGATAGGTGATCATTTTTAAAAGACGTTTTTGTGCTCTACACTTATTAGAAGAATGCCATAATGTCCTCCAAAGTACGCATTTCAAGATCGTTACTGTGGGCCTGTGGCCGACTTACGCATCATACAAACTTAGGCGAACTGGAAGATAGATCGGGAGACCCCTTGATAGTTCAGGGGTTCTTGTCATGCGCTCACGATTCTTCATGCTCTCCAAGGGCCATTAAGTTGTTAGGAAATAGCTTGCATGTGTGCAGAGGTAGGTAGTTCAGGCCTCAGAGGGTCTATCAGTGTAGCAGAAGTCGAAGGTGGAACCATAGACCTCTGTACACCAGTGTACAGAGGTGTACAGAGGTCTATGGTGGAACCCTTGATAGCCTAAAGGGACGGTCGCATGCTTCGAGGGTCCCCGCTGGCCGCTGATCTGAGGGCCCTCCCACGCGCACAGAGGTCCCCGGCACTCTCAGAGGGCTCTTCGGTAGCTGAGTAGAAGGCCACTGGACCTGGCAGGGAGATCGGTTATAGACACGGGATCTCTAGTCACTGGATGAGAATGGATAGGCACTGTCAATAATGAATTTAACGCTGAAACACTATGAGGAAAACAGCGTTAACCGTAAACAGCGTTAACCGTGTAGAACTCGTCGAATTTCACTCTACACTTCTTGCATACCTAGGGATTCGGATTTTTTCCTGTTTTCGTACAGGTGATAACAATAGATTAACACAGCAAACCATCCAATATTCCCTCACTTGAATCGACTCCAACGGTTATGCCACGCCACGCCGCCCTGAATCTTCACCATTATAACATATGATTGAATGAAATGTTGGCATATTTCTCTGCATAGTATTTAGGCTGCTCTCGAATACACCAAGCGCTGACAACATACGAATTTATAGGTACTGCACGCTGCCGCCTTGACTTCGTATATCTGCCGGCCGTCCCACTGACCAATTAACGACAGCGCCACGGGCGCGGGTAGGTTGTCGGTCACCGTATCACTCGACCGACTAGTTTCTACCTCTCCCCGCCCTGTTTCCATCTTCTGGCTAGTTGTGGGAAGAGTGGCTCGGCGGGCCAGAGCAGGTTTGCAGCGGGACAATCGGAACAGTATAAATGTGCGCTGGTTGGCTCCAGTTGCACAGTTCCGGACTGCAGGTCACAGAGGAACCACAACCAGAATGCAGCTCTGTCGGAGACCGGTGCTGCTCGCTGTGCTGGTAGGTCATTCGAAATTTTATAGGCGACGACAATAGCGTGGTGGGGAATAGGGGAGAGAGGTCATATTGCGCCACCTTAAGGATATCGGCCTATTGCGGCTAAAGTTGACCAGCTGTCATGTTTGATGATATCTCAAATTGTACCTCAGTTATTTTGGCATCAAATTACAACTCCTAATTTGTATCACACCCATAAAAATTAACAAGAGAAAAGTTTTCCGACACACCTGCAAAGGGCGCATTTACGGACTACCCCATCAAAAAGCGCCCATGCCTCTCATGTAAAAGCGCCCTATTAAAAACAACGGTTTGCCACCTAACTAAGTAGCCTAATTGAACGTGTCAGCCCATTAACCATTTATGCTGTGAAGGCTAAGGTAATGGTAAGGTAAGCGCTCTAATAATCAAAGTGTTCAATGAAATGTGTCCCAACCACCAGATGCTGTTTCTCTGGGTTGAAGAATAGGGCGCAAATAGGGTGGGCGCAATTACGAATGGAACATATTTTTCATGAGCTTCAAATATGGCGAGGACAGCGAAGCCACGGTGGTGATAAACTTTCAAAACTACCATTAAACGAGCAATTAACAATGATTATTAGTTGAATCACTATCTCTAAGATAAACCATGACACTAGCAAAGGTCGAAATAGACTGTTTCGCGTAAGAAAATAGAGGAAATCACAAAAAATGGTCTGTGAGAAAGCTGAGACACCTCACCTGCCCCCGTGGACCGGAATTAGAGCGAGTTATTGGTGGTGAAGTAAATGCACACATTCGAGCATTCATTCGAATCGAATTTTGGACAGGAGGAAGGTGTGGCGCATTTAAGAACATGGCGCAATATGACCTCTCTCCCCTATTGCCAGTGGTGTACAATAATCTAGAGAGGATAGGCGATTAGAGAATCGATGGGGGAGAAAATGAGGACACGAGCATTTGTTTTCACATTTCATTAATCACGTTATCAGTTCAACCTTTATTTACATCTGAAAACGTCCTCAGACATCTACGAGTTAAATTCATTTGCTGGTTTTGTTTATTTATTTATTTATTTATTTATTTATTTATTTATTTATTTATTTATTTATTTATTTATTTATTTATTTATTTATTTATTTATTTATTTATTTATTTATTGATATATCTATTTACTTATTTTTAACTTTACTCTATTTTTATTTCACTTCTTGTCTTGACGGCTTTGAAGAAATTCCTTAGCCACCATAAGATATTTTTGGGTGCTCATCACTTCATTTCGCGTTGTCATCAGTGTGTTGACGTCCCGGCGTCTTTTGCAGCTGGCGGGAGTGGCAATCGCCGCCCCAAATCAGCACTCCGACAATACTCTGGATGCCAAACAAAGTTCCGGAACTGTCGCAACCAACGGGTCAACCAACGGGTCAAACAGCGGGTCAACCAGTGGGTCAACGGAGGACGTCGCCGATGACGCCTCAGCAGGGAGGAGCAGAACGAGCCGCGTCTTCAAGCTGTTCGGTGGGGTTTCCGGACAACCGTCTGGCTGGTCGACCAACTCTTTCCGCAAGGTTGACACAAAAACCACCAAACCTGTTAGCAAACTTGGCAAGAAGACCACCAAACCGGTCAACAAGTCTGACAAAAAAGTCGTCGAGGTCGCCCGCTCGTCTGCCACAAAGATCACAGCCCAATCACAGGTGGGTAACATGACGAGAGACTGCTGCACCATCGGAGTTTTCGCTCTCATTACCCATGCATTTATTTATGAATTCGTTTTTCATGACCATTGATCTATGTTGATTGAAAAAAGTTGACTGGGATGTCTCAGTACTTAATTAATCTGCCGTCTGACGTAACATGTTGTGCGTCGTTCGCAGGAGTCGAGCGATACCCGGAGGAAGCCCGCTGCTGTCACCCTGCAGTCGCGCGCTGGCTCTGCTATCGGCGGAGGCCAGCTCTCCGACCTGGCTCACCTGTCTCTGCCCAACAATCACCAGGTGCTGCCGGTACCCATGTCGGTGCCAGTGCCAGTGGTGACGACGCACCACCATCGGCCGGCACCAGTGGGACCCCTGTACCAACAGCCGGCACCAGTGACTCCGCTGTACCAAAAGCCGGCACCAGTGGCTCCGCCGCATCATCACTCGGTACCAGAACTGCTGCCACACCACCGGGAGGCACCACCACTGCTGTCGCACCACCTCCCAGCACCAGCTGTGCACCAGCACCACCGATCCAGCAGCCTTCTGCACGATTGCGCCACAGGCAGGGACGTGCAGGTGGGCACGGCTAACGTGCTGTCAGCCGTGAGTATAGAGCTGGCCCAGCAGCGCAGTCAGCTTCAGAAGGACGTCATCAGTCGCTGCGGAGGCGGCAAAGCCGACGTCTGTGACCTGCATCCGCTGCTAGAGGCACAGGGCGACGCCGCCAAGAGCATCGAGTGGCTCAAGACCGACCAGGAGAACGTCAAAGCGGCACTGTCGGAGGTCAGGTCCGTGGTGCTCAGCGGTCAGGCTTCCATCGCCCAGGGCGTTACCGGCCTCCAGTCCAGTCAAGAGGAACTCAAAGACGCTGTGGCTGACGCCAAGACGATGCTAACGAGCGGCCAGGGGACCATCAGCAACGACCTAACCGGGCTAGCTGCAGAACTGGGAAGAGTCGAGAAGGCTATTATTCGTGGCCAGAATGACATTACAAAGGGCGTCAACTGGCTGGAAACGGGTGTCGAAGAGATCAAAACCGCCATTGGAGGTGAAGCCAACGGACTTCAGAGCGGTCTCAACACAATCGTCTCGAACATAAGAGAACTCTCAACCGACCTGGCCGAAACCGAGAGTGCCATCGTTGAGCGCCAGTCTACCATCACAAATGACTTGGATGATATTCAGACTAGACAGAACAGCATCCTGGCAGCAGTGGACAACACTAAAGACATGGTTGTCGAACGCCAGATTGGGATAGCAAAAAGCCTGGAGAATCTAGAGGATGGCCAGCATGAAATTTTGCACGCCATCAAGGACACTAAGAATATGATAACGGGCACCCAGGGCACCATCGTAGGCAGTCTTCAGAGCATCATGAGTCGTCAGCCTGAAATTATCGGTACCGTAACAGCGGGAAGGAATGCTCTCGAAACCAAGATTGATGCTGTTGAAGGAGACATCAACAACTTAGAATCAGGACAGTCAGAGTTGTTGAATGCGGTGCAAGACACAAAGAATATGATTGTCAGCCGTCAAGGAAGCATTATCAGTGACCTGAAACACCTGAAGGAAGGACAGAGTCAGCTGGAACATGCAATCCACCACGCAAAAGAAACCATCCTGGCTGCTCGTGATCACAAAGATCATGGTCACGGCTCCTCTTTTGACGTCGCGCAACTGGCTGCCAAGCAGCATGAAATACTGAAAGCTGTGGAATCCACAAAATTTGCCATCGCAAGTAAGAAGGGAGCCATAGATTCGCTGCGGCATGATATTGAGCACAAACATGATCGTGTCCCGGACGAGCTTGGTGACATGAGGCGGGCCATTTTGCGTGTGCTGCGACGGATCGAAGATCGTTTGGAGAACATCGAGGATGGGGAGGGAGAAGGCGACGACTAGTAGTGATATGTTGAGCGTGTAAAGTTGTTACGGTACGTAGTATTTATAAATAAGTGCATGCTTTATTTACGCCATTGTTGTCTAAGCCACATGGACCAGTCCGGTGGTTGTCAAATGTTATTTGCTTGGAGGAAGCTGAACACCGTTCCGTGCTTTTATCCTCAGGATACTGAAGTCCTTCTCCTCCACGCCGCAACCCCCCTCCGGGCTGGACAGGCAACTTTATCTCATGCGGGCTGCCCCCTTGGAGCGGCACCGCTGCTCCCGAGGGAGCGCACCCCGTAGCCGGGTGCAGTGAGTGCCTTGGGGCTGGGTGGCCTGTCCTCTGGACGGGCTCAGCCCCGGCGACTCACTAGGGTGCCTGCCCAGACCAATGTCACCCCCTATTTCCTATTATCCTCCCGGCTCTGAAATGGTCTCAATGGACCGAAAGGGTCTAACCCAACAAAACAAACAAACAAAGGAAGCTGAACATGATATTGGCAGTCAGCCGGTTATGGGTTTCGTTTGCAAAGATGTGCATTTGATATCCCGTTTTCTGCGGTACTCTATCATTTGGGTAAGCAAAAACGTATTTCAGCCATGTCAATGTTCGCCACTACTGTCATCTACGCTGCTGTTTTTGTGCAATACATGTGCATTTATACATTATTGATTGATTTTTCAATATTTTCTTCTATCAATAACATTTTGGATGTCAATTTTTAGAAAGGCTCCCCTTTGATGCATTTTCTGAATGTCGTAACTCGTAAGGGTTTCAAGGCCGGGCTAGCCATTTCAGGACTTTCTTGCATTCAATTAACTTGCTTAAAATCATACTCACGAGTCACGATTGTTCGTATCGTGGATCATTGAGGGGCGATAAGTGCAAAAAAGCAATCAGCTGACTGGGAATCACGGGACTGCATCCAATGACGCCACTGTCTGGGTGAAAACTGAACTAGAGCGAACCGACCACGTGAGTTATCGTATCACCCTCGTCTGCTCGCCAAACCGGCACGTGTGTTACGTAGTGGTCCCACACTTACTTACATACGCAGACTGACGGGTCTTCCCAACGACATGTCGACATGTCCGGGTGCAACTAACAGCTGCACAGGGTTAACGTCTTGTTCACACGTCCGCCGTCGCAGATATATCGTTAAATCTTGAAACTCTCACTCCGCCGGCTGCCCCTTGTCATCTTGGTATCAGAATAAAATACAAAGCGGTTCTTGACCACCGTCGAAGCGTTAGAGGCCAAAACCGGTTGGCAAAATAGCAGTAGAAAATCGTCAACCGCTGTAATCACTGTGAGGATGAAATAGTGATCAAACGATTCGCTCAAATTGTAGTTTTGTTCAGTCAGTTTTATCGATTGAGTCACCTAGTTTTCGACCGGTTTGGGTACTCTGCCCAGCTTATCTATAAGCTGGGCAGTTGTTTAGTTTTTTTTACTCAGTTTTTACGCACTCAGTTTTTTAAGCGAACAACTGACCCTAAAACACGTGCCCTCTGCTCGGCGCCGGTCGCGGCCCCACCACGTGCACACCGCTGAACGCACTCGCTGGAAAGTTGACACGACAAATGTATGCACGCGTCAGACTCACAGTGAAAATTTCACCCCCGTAGCCCTCACCGTTCCCGAGCAATAGCCTGTTTTTGCCGGTTTTAATGTTAACCCTATGGCGCACATTCGCACGCGCCAAGGGCGCACCCCTGACCCCATCACAGCAAAAATTGATACGAGTACGAGCTACGTGTAAAGGTGGCCCACATGTCCTGAAAATTTCGCAACCCACGCAACTGCATAATGTCATTAGGCACTTGTCATAATGCTGGCTCAACATAGGCCTATAGGTTAGGGTATGCCGAGTTTACCAGTGTACTTACTTCAACATACTATCATGATCACATATTATTGGTGTCGCCTTCGCAAGGTGATTTTGTTTTCATATGTTATCGCAAAACAAAAAAGTTCTTTTTTTAGATATTTATCTTAAAAAACAGAAGTTTCTTGCAGCATACTTAAATACCAATTCATCCATTCATTCTAGGATATGCACTCACAAACCAGCAATCAAATCATTGCACCAAAGTACAACGAATATTCGGTCTATCAGAGCTCAAGTGATAATGTGGTCTAAGCATGTAGACCGGATCGCAAAGTCAAGCTTCATCAAAACGAAAGACTTTCCATGAGCGTCTCTAGTCGTCGCGGTCGTCGCGCAGACTCTGGCGGGTCTGCGGGACGCCGACCGCCCGGTACACGGGCGCTCCGTAGCCGTAATAGCCGACCGGCGCCGGCCGCCGCTTCTGGGCACACTCGTACTTGACCGTGGGGTGGTAGCCGGTGTGGTCGGCCCAGTAGGTGACCGTCTGCACACAGCCGTCGGGCAGGTTGACCGAGTAGCGGCCGCGCGTGGTGACGCCGTCGCTCTCCTCACTGCGCGAGAACACCGTGCCAGAGTCGTAGCGGTCGTCGACGCCGTACGCGAACGAGTACGGCCGCGGCTGGTAGTAGCGCGGCTGCTGGTACTCGGAGGCGTAGCCGAGCTGCGCGTGGCTCGGCCCGTCGTAGCGGGGCCTCTGGGGCACGCCGTAGCGTGCCGCCGGTCGACGCGCAGTCGGGTACGCCGTGTAGGACGAGGCCGGCGCGTGCACGGCGACTGGCGCCGTGGGCCGCCTCACGGGCGGTGCGGAGAAGTCGTCATCGGCAGCAGCCAGGCACAGCGCGGCGGCCAGCAGCAGCACCTAAAACAGCGAGGATGGAGCATTAGCAGCTGGGAACAGTGTTGTCGTATATTCATTATTCAAGCATATGTGGATGGAACAAAGGTGACGGAACCAGAGGAGACAAGGCTACAACAGCTAAAATAAAGCTAAATGTTTATTAGTTTTTCTTTCTTTCATATGATTCGGGATAACGTTCAAAAGGGACCTCTTCACTTGTAGTTTCCGTCGTTACTTTAGCATGCCTTGGGGTGATTTATCGAAGTTCTGTCGAAAATACCGCTTACCTTCATGTTTCTTTCAGGAGGTGTTGTACTTCTGCAAAGTGAAGCGATACTGATGCTCCTCGCCGTCGCTTCTGCCTTTTTATATTCACCCTACACTCCCACACAATGCCTACCCAGTACCCACTTTTAATTAGTTATACTGACCCAGTTTGGAAGTCGGAAATGTCGCCAAGTTACGCCTGCGATCAGGAAGGAAAATAGTTACAAGCTGACAGATCCTCGATGAGAAGGTTAAACGGCTCGCACGCGACGGTTGATAATATCCTGGCTATGACCTTGCAACCGAAGCACTTCCTGAAACAGGTGCCGTCGCAAATAAGGGCCATGGGGATCATCATCACGGCCCCTTCTTGAATCCGTGCGACGTGTGTGATCGGAACGGATGGAGGTGGAGGGGGGGGGGGGCGTGTTTATAGGCCTACTCACTCCCTCCTTCTTGTGTCTGAAGCGTGAAGAAAATGATGGTGTCATTTTTTAGGTCAGGTCACAAATTAGCTCAGTATAGGTCAGCAAAGGTCAAATTTTACCCAGTTTAGTCTTCTTGCAAGAATTGTCTAAAAATTTGTGAAAACAAGGCGGAGAGGTCGCAGTAAAACTTTGAAATTTGATCTCTCTTGGTAAATTTCTTCAATAATGTGCGTACAGTTTTGTCTGAAGGTCAACCGTGTAGCCTAGAGAGGATTCTGTGAAATTTGACGTTTTAACCTATTGCATACCACCACCACCACGAGGGCTCAGATGACTTTTTACTTTTAGGAATAGGTATATAATATTACTTTTAGGAATCCCCTATTTGTCTCTTAAATGTCCCTTATAAAGGAATCCTCTGTCTCCTTTACCTCGCTTCACTACAAATATGGCGCAACTAAGTCATTCTAGAAGCAGTTTGCAATTTTTACTTACCTTTAGGGCTCTCCCAAATAGCTTCCAGACTAGACACTGAGGTAAAAGTGATAGCACATGAAAGCTCAAAGCAAGAAAAATCAGAAAACTATCTGGCATTTAACATACTTTAAACGGCTGAGCTATTATTCAAGTAGGTGTAATCACATCCGCGGCAATATCAGAACACCGCACCTGTCGAATTTCTGCCTTGACTTTCTGCCGTTTATGCGTTAATGCCACTTAAAAATCCTCAGTCGGCGCACGTGCGCTTGTCGAGTCGGGGACCACCAGTCGGACGATTCGGAACTGCCGGCCAATCAGCACGCCGCTTTTGTGATGTGGTAGTTTGAGAACCACTGGATATGGTAGCGTAGCAGCTTTTGGAAAGGCGCTACGCTACCAAATCCTCCCCTATTTGTCGCTTAAAGAGGGAATTGAAGGGCAGGATAAAAATACTTCAAAATATGAATTGTTGAATTTCGAGTATTAAATAAGCCCAATTTATATTGTTTACAGCATAAACGAAGCCTTGTATGCTTCTAACAACAATAGCGCCCATAGCAACGTTACACGCGATCGCTATGATGCCTAAAATTCGATCTGAAAATAGGGGAGAAATAGGGGAAGATTAAGGGAACCCTATGTAAACACGGCTATTGATGAGACTAGCCGTTTTCACGACGGAAGAGCGGATACCAAATAGATACCTGTTGGCTGTTTGGTCTGTTGATACCTCAGGAATTTTAGTAGTTCCTTATAGTAGGTTTTCCATCCTTCGAATGAGTGGCCCGTTACTTTGCTGTTTTGCTACTAAATATTACATTAATTTATTTTATCTAAGGGTTTACCACTCACGTAAACCTTAAGCGCAAGCACGCTAATGAAATTCTCAAATCTATATAATGTTAGTACAATGATTAGAAAATATACTGAGCTGCGGGTGACCGAGCTCTCCCAATTCCACGCCGCCCCCACGGCCCCAGAGTTGTGGGGGCAAGCTGCCCCCACTGCCCCCCCCCCCCCGGTTCCCGCGCCTATGTAGAGACTAGAGTACCTAAAGCTGTCTCGTGCAATATTGATCAGCATTGTTTGTTACCAGTGGCGCAGCCAGAACTCTGGCGACGGGGGTGAGAGACGTTCGCGATGGGCCCCCCAGCAAAGTGGGCCCCCTCAACCAAATGGGGCCCCTTACCAACAACGAAAGGTCAGATCATTGTCATCATTACCAGCCAAATCGGGGAAAAGGACAAATATCTCTTGATCTCAAGAGGTACATAAAAAACAACAGCATATTTACAGAAACACGACCATTCTGCCCATATCTGATGGGCAGCGTGCAATTGATGGCCAGCGGCCACTCAAAGGGTCGGGCTAGGTCAAAAGGCTTTTAAAAAAGCTCAACATCAGTTATGACAGGTAGAGTTATGACATTGTCTTGAAGGTGTTAATCATCCATACGGATCGGTCGATGACCATCATGAACTTCTCAAGTAAGGGCATGAGCCGCATGACCTTGATCTGCGGTCACATTTTGAAGTTGAACTTTTTATGTGAAATTATAGGTAGCTCATTCGATGCATATTAACAAGAGAATGATGACAAAGTAAATGTCTCTTAGTTTTTGCTCACCAAAGTCCTTGCAAAAATTCTTAGCAAAAGTGTTTTGGTAAAATGCGACTATTTAGATGGTTTTGCCGGTTTTACCCTCTGCTCTGTTGCCAAACCATTGACATGAGGCATTGAGGTCAAATCTTAAAAGCGAAAGCGTTTTGAAAGGCCTATCGAATGAGTTGTTCCGCAAAGCTCTAGCTCTTTGGTTCACGAGTTATACGGTTATTTGTGAAAAATATAAAAACAAGATTTTTTTTCGTGGTAATATTGTCTTTGTGTTTATCATAATTTTATCATAATTTCATCTTCAATTACCTCAGCGATGACCTAATCGAAAAATGACCTCTACGATTCTGAAGCATCTTATAGCTATCCGTTGCTTTTCTCGTCTTTCTAGCCGTCTTAAATTATGATCGGGTTTGGCCGATACGCCCCCCCCCCCCCATGGCTGATTGCACGAGTTAGAGAGCTATCGAACCCACTTTCAGCGCGCTATAGCTTTTATGTCCTCGAGTGTCGAAATAGGCGAAACTTTTCCTTCGATGAACATGATGACGTGTGCTTTGGTCTGAACTGCAATATGACTGAAGTAATTTCTCCATGATTTTCCACACTCTTAACAAAGCCGCCTATCGCCGCACTTGTCGCTACGTGACCCTGGAGTCAGGTTAGAAGGGAATATTCAAACACCCCTCAGGGGCGTAAAAGTCGAAAGCCTGGGGCCCTGCTCTGCGGGGCGCGGTCGAGCTAGGCTAGAGCCAGTTTGGGATATTTACAAGCCAACGTAAAGCCCTCAAGAATCTGCATAGACCACAGGCCTTCCAAGCCTTCGGGGTTTAGATATCGACAATCGACATGGTCTTTTGAGGCCTGCGTGGTGGCTATCAGATGTCGGTGGGCTCCTCAAAAGCCGGTGCAGGAGCCTCAGGTGTCAGTTTGGAGCCATCATGGACCTGTGTGGGGTCCCGATAAATACCTAGGCGTCAAGCCCCTAGACGTCGGGATGGGGCCGGGCGGTTAGGCAGGCACAGGCCTGAGGAGAAGATTTTCAGATGTCGGCTTGGCAGGGCCCTGCATGGCTTTCTCAGAGGCTGACATATCGTACTGCGGGACCTCCATCATAGGCGGCGGAACGGGGAGGGCACCGGGGCACCGTGCCCCCCTTTGATTTTGACATTTTAACATTAGCCCTATGGGCGTTGTTTGGAAAGAATGGGACCAAAAAACGGCAGTGCCCCCCCCCCCTAATTGAAGGTGTTCCGCCGCTTCTGACCTCCATGAGCCTCAAAAACCTCTATGGGCCCCCTCACGCTTGGAGTAGGCTTCCTGAAGCATAAAATCTCTGAGTCTTGAGATGAGCCCATTAGACATGAACTGGGCCATCAATATACATGTGGTGAGTTGACCTATATCAAACATGATATCGGCTCAATCAGGATTGGGGTAGGACCTCTCAGATCCAGGCCAGGCACGGAGTACGGACCCTCCCACACATAGGATGATCCTTTCACTCCTGGGATGTCTTCTCAGGCCTGAACTGGGCCCTCTCAGACCTGAAATGGGCCCTTCTCAGGCCTGAAGTAGACCCTCTCAGGCCTCAAATAGGTCCTCTAGGGCCTGAAATGGGCCCTCTCAGGCCTGACATTAGCCCTCTCAGACCTGAAATGGGCCCTCTCAGGCCTCAACTAGGTCCTCTAGGGCCTGAAATGGCCCTCTCAGGCCTGACATTAGCCCTCTCAGACCTGAAATTGGCCCTCTCAGACCTGAACTGGGCCCCCTCAGCCCGGAAATGGTCCCTATCATGTCGAAAAAGGGCCCCCTCATACCGTACCTGGGCCCTCTCTGGTCTGAAATGGTGCCTCTTATGCCTTAAATGGACCCTTCTCAGCCCTCAAACGGGCCCTCTCTGGCCTCAAACGGGCCCTCTCTAGCCTCAAACAGGCCCTCTAGGGCATGAAATGGGCCCTCTCAAGCTTGAAATGGGTCCCCTCAGGCCTGAAATGGGCTCCTCTCAGGCCTGAAATGGGCCCTATCAGGCCTCAAACATGCCCTCTAGGGCCTGAAATGGACCCCTTCAGGCCTAAAATGGGCCCTCACAGCATCAAATGGGCCCTCTCGGGCCTGAAATGGGCCCCTCTCAGGCCTCAAAAAGGTCCTCTATGACCTGAAATGGGCCCTCTAGGGCCTGAAATGGGCCCTCTCAGGCCTGACATTAGCCCTCTCAGACCTGAAATGGGCCCCTCTCAGGCCTGAAATGGGCCCTATCAGGCCTCAAACATGCCCTCTAGGGCCTGAAATGGACCCCTTCAGGCCTAAAATGGGCCCTCACAGCATCAAATGGGCCCTCTCGGGCCTGAAATGGGCCCCTCTCAGGCCTCAAATAGGTCCTCTATGACCTGAAATGGGCCCTCTAGGGCCTGAAATGGGCCCTCTCAGGCCTGACATTAGCCCTCTCAGACCTGAAATGGGCCCCTCTCAGGCCTCGAATAGGTCCTCTAGAGCCTGAAATGGGCCCTCTCAGGCCTGACATTAGCCCTCTCAGACCTGAAAAATGGACCCTCTCAGAACTGAAATGGGCCCCCTCAGCCCGGAAATGTCGAAAAGGGCCCCCTCATACCGTAACTGGGCCCTCTCAGGTCTGAAATGGTGCCTGAAATGGGCCCCTCTCAGCCCTCAAACGGGCCCTCTCTGGCCTCGAATGGGCCCTCTCTAGCCCCAAACAGGCCCTCTAGGGCATGAAATGGGCCCTCTCAAGCTTGAAATGGCCCACTCAGGCCTGAAATGGGCCCCTCTCAGGCCTGAAATGGGCCCCTCTCAGGCCTGAAATGGGCCCTATCAGGCCTCAAACATGCCCTCTAGGGCCCGAAATGGACCCCTTCAGGCCTGAAATGGGCCCTCACAGGCATCAAATGGGCCCTCTCAGGCCTGCAATGGGCCCATCTCAGACCTCAAACAGGTTCTCTAGGGCCTGAAATGGGCCCTCTCAAGCTTCAACTGGGCCCCTTCAGGCCTGAAATGGGCCCTCACAGACCTGAAATGGGCCCTCTCAGGCCTGAAATGACCCTCTCATGCCATGGAACGGGGCCCTCCTAGGCCTTAGATTAGTTCAATCGGGTCTTGGATGTACCCTCTTTA